TGCTAGGAACAGCTCAGATCCTGCGCAGAACCCTCAAACTCCCAAGCTTCTGGTAGAGGACCCGAGATTGAGGAAGACACATACCACCCATAGGGGTGAGAGAGGATTTTTTTTTTAATAATTATAGAATATTGTTGCTTTGTAGCACTTCAGTGCCAATGACTCAAATGAAATCACATTTGTCCTTTAAAATCAAAGTCCCTTCTTAAGCTGTGCTTTATGGTACTTTTTTCCCCCACCAAGGAAGCCCAAATTCAGGAGCATGTAAAATATCAAGGTTTCACCATGAAATCTGAAAGTCATAACAGATGCCACATCGAAAATCCTGCTTTTCCTAAGTTCTTGTGAAGAGAATTCTCCATGCAGGTAACCGTACCCATGGACTTATTCATACTTATGAACAAACCTGAGGTGGAAACTGCCACCATGACCACGCTTCTTCTAGATAGATGTGTTATAGACAATTAGCTATCCAAAACGGGTGTTTTACTTATAATTTTTCCAAAAAAAGCAGGAATTTGCGTGGCTTGAATGGGCGTGAATATCTATCTATCTATCTATCTATCTATCTATCTATCTATCTATCTATCTATCTATCATTTTTATATGGCTGCCCATCTCCCAAAGGCACTCTGGATGGTGAACAGATGATGTGAAAAGGTTCCTAAGAATAGGCTATTTTAAAGAAATTAAAAGCCTCTGATTATGAATGCAACATACTGTCCATCTTAGCTGACCTTGAAAAACTAAGTAGCATCAAATCTGGTTAATGTCTTCGATGGGAAACCACAAGGGAATTCTAAGGCTGTAGTAGACTAGACCAAGGAGTCACAACACATTCCAGAAGAAAATAATGGAAAACCTCTCCTGTGTTCACACAGTCACCCGGAGTTGAGCTCAACTTGAAAGAATCTTTAAAAGCGGTTTGCTTTATTATACATTGATTAAATGGCAAATACAAGTCTCTCAAAAACATTCCCAGCTTCATGGGGAGAAACATTCTTGTATGTGTGATATGTTTTTCTTAGACATTCTCTCAACAGTGGCTTCCCAGTGCAGACACAGAGAGCAGCACAACTACAGAAGAAGGCACTTAGACATTACGTTTTATGCACAGCACAGTCATGAGCATTTTTATTTAGAAGTAAAATGTACTAATTAAAGTGGACATAAGAAATGTCTACAGCCCTTTTGCTTGTGATGTGAACTCTTAACCTAGCTAGATCCATTGGGCAGTGGACAGTCACTGAGTTTAATCTGGGACTTCGGTTGGGGTTCATACTGTTAGGATAATATCAACATTTATCTAATCTTGATTTACAACACATTTCACGCAGGAAATTTCTCCCATCTTGCCATCATTTCATGGGTAAGTGGGGAAATTTGCAACTTGTACATCATGGATCTGCGCTGAAATCCAGTATCGTATTTCACAACATTCTTCCCCCCGCAAAACAATCTCAAGATGAATTTAAGGCTCCTTTAAAAATTGCCCGGACACACTTTTGAAAGAAAGCCAACAATCGGGAAGCAACTAAGCCAACAGCTACATTTGGGTGGCAAACACAATGTATTCAAAGTGATGAAATACCTTTAGACAAATCTTCACCGTGCAATAGGAAATCCTGATTTGACTTACTTATCCTCTGTGAGGTTTTGTCCTGTGATCTGGTTCTTCCCGGTCGGTGCATAATCCCAATTTTCTTCCACAACTCCAATATAGTAGATTCTGGTAGCTGCTTGGGCTAAGACAAAAAGCTGCAGAATAATATAGGTTAAAACGCAGGCGAGTAGTTTTACAGAAGTCATGTGTGTGCAATTCAAGCACATGCACTTCGTGCCAGAGGCAGCAAAAGCACGCTCACCTCTCCTGCTTATAAAAATTCCAGCTAGTCAAGCAAGAAGAAATGAGTAAAGGGACGCTCCACCCATTCAACAATGTGGGGCTGATGAAGGACAGACCAGAAAACCTGAGCAAGCAGAGAGAGGCCTGGTGGTGTGGGGTTGCTATGGCAATCGGCTTCTTGCCAGGACTTGCAGGCCTCCTGTCCGAAATGGACTTCATGCTGCTGGCTAAAATGAATAAGTGTTTTGTTTGGACTTTCAGGTGCTTTGCCAGTCTTCAGTCCTTGAGGAGAAGGCTAATGCAATAGTATCAGAATAATCAGACCAGTAGTTGGTCTTACATTTGGCTCAGAGGTTGGGTACCCAAGGAATCCTTCCCCAACTGGGGGCCCTCTGTGCTGGCTAGAAACAATGGTCCATCCCACCTGGAGGACACCAGTTGGAAAAAAGCTAAACTTTGTTCTAGGACGCAGGTGGCTTTGCTGTGTTTGCACTGAACATGGTGTCAGATTGTGAATTCTAAAACTTCCAGGGCAAACACAATCTCCTGCATTTTTTCCTATCAGTTCACAATCAGTTTGATGTAAGAGAATTTGCTTTTGAAATTCTCAGGGCGGATGGTGGTGTTAGCCTTTTAACTGAGGTACAAGGTGGGATTTGAATGTCTTTCACCATACAATCAATTCTCCAGTAGCACAATATTCCTGGCTCCCCTCATTTCATTTAAATGCGAAATAAATACACTTCTTCGGGGAGATGTGGACTGTCTTTGGAGTGATGGAGAAATGTTTCACAGAAACCATTATAATTATTTGTATACTCTCCCTTGTCCAGCAATAATGTAAGCTCAAATACAGCATCAAAAGAAGTTCAAAGGAATGTCTTGTAGGCTATCAAGAGTCTTGTGATTGAGGAAGCATACAAATTTGCTAAGTAGATAAATCATTCGCAGGCACACTGAGAGTAAGGAAGAAAAACAGAAGGTTCTTTTGGAAGATAAAAACACTTCTCAGAAAATGCAAAGACAGATTTTGCAATATATCAGCATATCCAAATCAATTACATGTGTAGTGAGACCTCCAGTTAATGAACTCCAGCTAATGGACTTCAAACACAATGGATAAAATTTTCATTTGGACTTCACTCCCTAAATAATGGACAAGTCCATTGTTTCAAAGTCAATCTGGACAACCGGTGTAATTTACATCATTAGTCTCAGGATTAATCAATATTTTTAGTACAATTGCCTCAACTTTTTACATATTGACACAAAGTATATAGAAAAATGTCAATGACACCATGAAGCCAATGGCACAAGTTGTGTCAGCTATGTAAATTTGGATTTAATAGGCACTTGGGTTAATGAAATTCCTTGAATGGTCCATTAAATCAAGTTTTGACTGCACCTTAATTTAATGGGTATTTGGACAGGGGAAGATATTTTGATATGCACATAATGAAGGAACATTTCTGATTTGCTTCCTTGTATGAAATTAGATGTGCTTTACATACAGATCTTCATGTGAGTCATGAGACACAGTGTTATCATTCATGCCATTCTTTTTCCTTCACTCCATTGCTTTCACGTTCTCCTCCCCACCCCAAACCAGTATTCCTAGTCCACACTGAGGGGTTTTTTGGATCCTCTCCTCTTATTTTAAGATTGTCCAGAATTCTGCAACTGTAGTTTGTCCTGCTCCTGGAAAACAAAATGATAATCCTCTCTTGTGTGTAGATGATGTCACTTTGCTATATAAGCAACAGTGCTTATGGCTTGAACACTGCTCAGGTCAGCCTGTATTAAAATAAAAGAGAGAAGCACCATACGGTAAATTATATAATATGGTGACTGTATCATCATATATTGCTGGCAGTGAAAGTTAATGTCAATGTAATCGTGTATTTTATACTATAATCTTTGTGGGTGGGATGAATGCTATATCAGCAATAACTCTCTGCTAATTCAGTCCAATACCTCCAGCCTTAACTGCACCTAGCCTATGTTAATTGGTACTTATAAAAGTGTTTGCGTATATATTTTAGGGTTAATTGCCCAGTAGGGTAATTAAATTTTGCATCATGCATATCGCAGAAAGATCCAAAATATTTTTTTGAATGCAGGAAAAGATCTGTATTTTTTCCCCAGATGCTACCATGTTAATGGTAAGCTGCCCAAAGTCACAAATATGAGATAGGCAGCTATATAAACTGAATGCATGAATGAATGAATGAATGAATGAATGAATGAATGAATGAATGAATGAATATCAATAATGAAGAATGGGATTTTATTCTAACAACAAAACTGGATCCTTCCACTTAAGTGACTCTCTTAGTTGTCTGAAGTCATGCTACCTACATTTATGTACTTGCTACTACATTTATATTCTACTTTCAAATAAAGAAACAACTGGAACAACTTATACAACATTTGAATAGAAGAATAATTAAAAATAAAACACAGTCAATAATGCAACAGTAAACCACTGCAAAAAATAGGGTTAAATATTTCTTTTCAAAACCTGGTGAAATAAAAAAAGTCAGCCATGGACATCTTGAGAGATTTCCTTCCTGGGGACACTTGTTACATCTATACTGGAAAGATTATCACACTTATTTTTTGGCCATCTGACTCCATCGTAATTCGGGGCAGTATGCAATATAAAACAAAGCAATACAAGCAGTACAAAGGAAAAGGCTAGAAAAAAAAATAAGCAACAGATTTTGACACAGCCATCCCACAAATGATCCTCTCTAGCCCAAGGTCTGGGAGAAGAGCCAGGATTTAAGGGGTCAATTAAATAAGCCCAAGATGGGGGCCATATGAATCTCTTGAAGGGTATTGTTCCAGAGGACAGGCACTCTGCAAGAGAAGGCCCACTTCCTGGGTGCCATCAGGTGACAATGTTTAACTGATGTGATCCAGAGCATGCTGACTGTGTCAATTCAAACAGCATGGGTAGACGTTACAAGCGACAGACATTTCCTCAGATAGCTGGGCCCTATGCCATGATGGGCTTTATAGATGATAATCAGCACCTTGAATTGTACCTGGAAGCCTATTGGTAACCAGTGCAGCTCACAAAGCATACTGTAGGTGTTACATGGGCATACATGCCTGGCTACTGCATTCTGGACCAGATGCAGCTTCTCAGTGGTCTTCATGGGCAGCCCCGTGCACAGTGCATTGCAATAGTCCAAACGTGAGGTGACCAAAGCATGAGTGACTGTGGGAAGGCCTTCCTGGCCACAGATACCACCTATACCTCAAGCAGGAACTGTGAGTTCAAGAAGTGTCCCAAATTCCACACCAGTCCTGAAAGGTGAAGTGCAACACAGTTCTGGATTAAAGATGGAACATCTCTAGAGGAAGGTGGTCCAAATACCAAACCACTCAGTCTTGTCAGGGTTGAACTGGAGCCTATTAATTCCCATCCAGACCTAGTAGCCTCCATATACTGGGACAAGACCATGGCAACATCATTTGGTTGGCCCCAGGTCAAGATGTGAAGATGGATATCATCAGCATACTGATGGATGATACCTGACCTCAAACTGAGGGATAACCTCACACAGCAGCCACATGTAGATGTTAAACACAAATGCTTTTACTTAAGTATGGATTCATAATATTCATAGACTTCACATTTTCTCATTACTTCTTCTTTTTCCTCAACAAAAAATGAAAATATGTTATGCAAGCTAAGACTGATGCCTTTGAATTGGTCACGATAGAAGTTCTCTGTCTGGAAATACTGCACTACTGAATTTACTGTCAGGCTGATGTGGAGGTAGACAATCTATTGAAAGACTATAAAGGCTTGAAAATTCAGCAAAAACACTTTGAGCTGTCCCCAAAAATGGACTAGGAGCTCAGGTAGTTGTTTAAGCCTTGGTGAAATATGAGAGTTCCTATACTGCTGTCAGTCCTTCTAGGAAGCCCAGTCAGGAAACAAGAACCACAAGAAATACTGGAAGGCTGTTTTATTGATATAGGCTATAATAGATCTGATATTTCTCCTTCCCTCCCTCTTATACCAAAAAGAGTCAAGATGGGGCAATCTTAAGTCTCTTTCCTGTTTTCCAAGGCCGAATTCATGTTTCCCTAAGAAATGCTGCATAAGTTCTTCAAAGTAATCTCTGTGCTCCTCTCCAATTGCTATATGTCAAAACCACAGAGCAAAAACAGCCAAACAAAAATCCAAATTTGCATGAAGTAGGCAAACACTAACATGCAGTATATCTGTAGATGTAGATTAGGAATGGTAGCTCTGATTTCCTTCAAATAGGAAGCATAACCTACCTCACTGTAGCCTCATATAAGTTAACTTTGTGGTCCATCCCAAAACTTTTTCTCACTTATTTTATTTTACAGGGCTTATAATTTGCCTCAGTCCCAAGGGACGCTTGCAACTATCAGTAGAAGAGAATATAAGTAGCTCAGGGTTGAACTGTAGAGTCCTTGTGGTTCTCTGAGCTTGGTTGAACAACCTCAAGGACTCTATACTTGCATCTGTCTAGGGCAACCTCTTTTTTCTTCTATGTCCTCATAACATTGTCTCCATTTGATCCCCAGCCCATACCTAAGGTAGCCTTAAGTCATCCTTAGCTATACTGGTGTTTAAATAACATTTTCCCCTTTTCCCTTCACAGGTTTTACCATGGATACAATTGGATGCACTTCACAGATAAATTCTGTTAGTGACCCAATAAGATAACCCTCTAAGGCAGTGTTGTCCAAACTTGGCCACTTTAAGATGAGTGGACTTCAACTCCCA